AAGGGGCGGCGGAAGGCTATGGGCCGCCAAGGGTAGGAGAAGAGGAGGAAATGGAGGATTTGGGTGCTTCGCTGCTAGCGCCATGACGGTCCCGCCCAGGTTCGACGGCCGCGGCGCCGAGCCAATTATGTGCTCGCGGCAGTGCTGTGATTTATACTGTACCTGAAAAAGAGAAAAATACCCCCGGTTCCGTCGCCCCTTCCGCCAAAGCGGAGGAACGCAGGGCCCGGTAGATTGTTACGGCAGCCCATGCCCCCCCCTCCCTGCATCAAGGATGCAGCGAGGCGGGTCGAAGGGCCACCTAGGGTTGGGGAAAAGGGAAAAGGAAAGGGAAGTAGGTAGTGGGGTTCTATGCCGCTAGCGCAATGACGGTCCCGTCCAGGGCTGACGGCAGCGGCGCCGAGCCAATTAAATGCTCGCAACAATGTTGTGTAGTTCTGCACCTGAAAGGAATAGAGCCCCCGGTTCCGTCGACCCTGCCGCCGAAACGGAGGGACGCAGGGCCCGGTAGGCTGCGAGGCAGCCCCTGCCTCCACCTCTAAATCATCGAATCGGCAGGGGGAGACGGAGGGTGATGGACTGCTCAAGTGTGAGATACCTCTCCGGGAGGTGTAGGGAGGGAATAAAGAGGGGGAAGGGTAGCAACGCGGCTGGGCGGCACCTTCTCCGGTCCCAGTACCTGGCCCAACGAGGCTGTCTGCACGGCTTCGTACCGCTCGAGCCGCTCAGGTACCGGTCCTACCGAGGCGTCGCCCTGTCCCGCTCCCGCTGGAGAGAGAAGGAAGCACGGCCGGGAGGCACTCCTACTCTCCCCAGTGCTCGGACAGTGTGGACTGTCTCTGCGGATTTCATATCGCTCGAGTCCTCCGGACACCGGGGTTCGCGGGGGGCGCCACCGTTCCCGTTACCGCTGGGAAAAGCCCGTCCTTTCTTGGCCCCACGTCTCACCATGGACTGGGCACGTGGGCGGAGGGAAGAGTCCGCCCTTTGGGGCGCACGGACAGCCAGGGCCCCGTCGGCCGTCTGGACGTGGCGGCGTCCAGACGTTTCCCGAATCTCACCACGCGGAGGTGGGGTTGGCTAATGGGAGCAGCGGGGGATGCTCGAGGCATGCCTAGACCGCGCCGCGCCCTTTGAGAGTCGCACCAGCAGAGCTGGCGGTACCACCCCAACCATCAGTAGCAGCACCAGCAGCACCATCAGCAGCACCAGCAGCAGAACCAGCAGCACCAGTAGCACCACCAGCAGCACCAGCAGCAGCAGCAGCACCACCACCACCAATACCACTAGCACCAGTAGCAACAGCAGCACCGGCAATACCAGCAGCATCACCAGCAGCACCAGCAACACCTGCGGCACCACTAGCAGCAACAGTAGCAACAGCACTACCAGCAGCACCTGCAACATTAGCAGCACCAGCGTCAACAACACCACCACCACCAGCAACAGCAGCACCACCAACATCAATACTATCAGCACCAGTAGCACCAGCAGCACCAGCAGTACCAGCAGCACCACCAGCAGCACCTGCAACACTAGCAGCACCAGCGTCACCACCACTACCAGCACCAGCAGCAGCAGCAGCACCACCACTACCACCACCAGCAGCAGCAGCAGCACGGGCAGCACCAGCAACACTAGCAGCTCCAACATCACCACCACCTCCACCAGCAGCAGCAGCAGCAGCACCACCACCAATAACACCAGCACCAGTAGCACCAGCAGCAGCAGCACCAGCAGCACCAACAACGCCAGCAGCACCAATTGCGGCACCAGCACCACCAGCACCAACAGCACCACC